TAGTCTCTTTGATGTTTTTTTTCCTCAGGTAGATTGTTTTTATTAGGGACAAAGGTCCCACATCGGTTGTTGAAAGAGATCCCTAGCAATATATAAGATAGATAAACCAATCCACTAATCACCAACTGATTTTAGGTTGGAAGTCCATCTAGCTTAATATGGTATCAGAGCATGTGTTTCGATCCACGTAGATCCCTTAAGTATCATGGAATCAGAGCCCATGATCCACGTAGTCCAACCCAATCCGTTATCAACCCGTGCTCAAAGTTGGCCCATCAATACTTTCCCAAACAGTCCGAGATTGACGTTCAAAGAGCCATCATCTCGAAAGAGCCTATTAGGGACAAATGTCTCACATCGATTGTTGGAAGGGTCTCCTAGCAATATATAAGATAGATGGACCAATCCACTTATCACCAATTGGTTTTAGGTTGAAAGCTCATCTAGCTTAATAGTTTACATGTGCTTTGCTAGAGTGATCCTCCGTTTGTTCCATCAACAACATCTTTTATTTATTTTGAAAGACAATTAACAACATTTATCAGACAAGGACTATCATAATTTGTATGCTTGAATCTCTTGTCACATTTTGTGTATTTTTTCTTATTGTCTAAGATCTTATGTAGTTTCAAGCCAGTTACTTGTCGGCTCTAACATAGATTTTCAGATAACTTCCGCAGTTACACGCTTCAACGATTCAAGTAAATCGAACATAGTTCTTAGAAAAAATTATAGTATAGGATAAAACTAGAAACGAAAAACAAATTAAAGGTCTGATATGTGATCATTTTTGTATGGCGTTTCACCTTTGTCTCGATGGTCTCTAAGACTCTAAGGCTTATTTCTACTTGTATATACGAGGATGAAATCAAAATCTATATTATAATAGTTCAGTTTCAAGACTTCTCTGTGCGCCAAATCATCATTAGGTGGATCCTAATTTAAAAAAATGTATAAAATGTCAAACATATGATTTGAACCCGGGTTATTAAGAAACAAACACTAACATTTATACCACTAAACTACAGAATAACATATACATTGATGGCAGAAACTAATATATAATTAGGAAAGCCGGAAGTCTTTGCTTCTTTGGTCTCTTTTAAGGTTCAAACCTGCAAGAGTATTATGAATTTCATTTTTAATTGGGCTTCATCACGTTATATGAAAAAAAACCATCAAGTTTACAACAATTATAGTTTTCTCATATTGTAAACTGTCGATGTTTAAAATGAGTTAAGATTCCTTTCATCATCGTCTGAGTTACAAAGCTGCACCGTGTTTGTTTGTAATCTATTTTTTCACCAGTGAACTCTTCATCTCCCCATTTTACATCGCTTGATCATAAATGTTTCTGATTTGTAGCCCCTTTGTAAATCCTATATATATAATTCTCATCTTTGATGAACCCTATCTGCATCTCCACAAAATTTATCGATTCCTCTTAGCTTTAACCATCTTCTAGAAAAGGTCTCTCCCTACTTCTCCAGTTCCAAAAACTAGCATCACCGTCGTCCGTCATGTAGCCTTCGAGTCTCTCTATCATGTTAAGGTAAACATAAGAAATAACAACCAAATTAACATATAGAATCTCAAATCATTCAGTATGGGTTTTAGTAAACGAAACTAATAACAATAGAAACAAAGTCATACAACAAATCAAACATTCTTATTGCAGATTCCGAGAACGCCAAATCAACAGAGGTTCACTGAGTAAGGAATGCGGCGGAGACAGCCTTAACTGAGGTGAGAAAATATATCTTCCATGTTGCTATAGAAAAACTATAGTTTCACAGACTGACACACTGAAAATGCAATCATACCAAGAATCTCAAGAGCTTGTACACTGCTGAAGACGACGAGGAGAAACAAAAAGGGCAAGTAAACAATCCGGTTTCGGATCTAAATTGAGACTCAAGGCCCATCAAATTTCAAGTCCAATCATTGAAAACCCAACTACTACGTTTTCATTGTGTTCGAATATAGACCTATAGACTAAACTTTTTAATCCACCATTTCCATTTTTAAACTACCACAAATATTTTTGACAAATACAAAAAAAATAACTATCTTAATCATACATGTATATAATTATACGGAACATTATCATTATTAAACTACAATTATATATTTTCAAAAACATGTCATGACACATTAAAATAACAAACTATATTTCTTTTCGGATAACAAAATCATTTCTTCTTCGTTCCCATATTATAGTTGTATATTAATAAATACCTATGTTTGGCTACATATGGTTATTAAATTGCTAATAACGTTAAGATCCACTTAAATTGTACAAAAATGTAGAAATACGAACACGTATGAATTCGTTAAACACTCTTATCTGTAAAATAAAACAAGTATTTACTCACTAATAAATATTAATCTTTAAACATTCCGCACAACCTCATAACAAACATGTTTACTCTTTCTCTCTTGAATTCATTAAACTTTATTTCTTTGTATAATTTAATAAAATCTTAAAACATTTTTTTTAAATACCAATTCACTATTTAACAATAATATATTACTAACCTACAAATTAGATAATAACAACCTAACAAATTACCCATCCTGGACATGAAAGCACTAATAACACAAATACGCGAGAAAATCATTACTAAGATAATATATGAATATTTTAAAGCATATGAATTTCCACTCATTCGTATATCAACTCAATTCAATCGGGTTTTCGGTTAATCCCGAACAAAAAAATGTCCAAAACAAATGACAAAACCCCATTTGATAAAACATCACAACGCATCATCACTGTCACCGGCTCCGTGCTTGCGCGGGGCTAAGAAGCTAGTTATATCAAAGCTCAGTGTTTATAAGCTGCCTATCCGGTGGGTTGGACCGGTAAAGCTTGCTTGATCCTGTCGGTAATTTGGTTTGGTTATACAAAACCTGCTTAAGCTCGAAACTTTTTATTTTTATATTACTTTATTGGATTAGATACTTTCTAAAGAGAAGTTATGCCATGGAGACGGCCTTAAGGACAATAAGACCATCAGTGAGTTTAAACATGAAGAAGACAGACAAACACAAAGATACAAGTCTTCAACCACAATCAGTCGATTTGACCAGGTTGTCCTGAGCTGTAAGGTGGCCTTGGTCTCCTTCTTACCAGTCTTGTTACCATCGCCATAAATCCCGTCTCTTGAACCTATTTCATCAACATAAATATAGCTTTTACTACACATATCAATGACTTCCAACGTCAAATGCAATCAGGGTTTAGTTACTATATTTTTAAAATTAGCTTTCGTACTTATATAATAAACTTCCTTTTTTGGACTCTTACTTCCTTAATTTGTATGCTTAGCTTACTAAACACTTATGCTCCGGATTGGCTTCTAATGTCACTTGATGTTTTTATATACGTTGATTAGTGTAATATAATCCATAAGAAAAAGAATGAGCTAACCAGGTTGAGAACATAGAGAGCTTACGATTTCAGTTTCATGGTCTTCTTCTTCTGATGATGATGATGATGATGGAGAGGATGGTGATATTGATGATGAGTCAAGACCAAGACATTTCAATATGGCTTCAACAGTTTTGAGAAAGGCAGAACATGGAGAGTTGAGAAGAGAGTAGTAAACTTCTTTTTCTTCATCTTCTCTTCTACTTCTTCTCTCTTCTTCTCCATTAACTTCCATTTTTCTTCTCTCTTTTCTCTACTTAACTCTTCTTCTTATTCTGCTCAGTGCATTAAATGTCGTGTCTCATATGGCCTTACCTGCTTCTCAGTGTTCTTACACACACACACACCTTACTTTGCATTTATTACCTCTTTTTTTACTTTTCTATTCATAATATTATACATTTTTATTAAATTTAATTATTAAGATAACTAGGGTGACAATTCAACTTAAACCCATAAGCAATTAAACGGAGGGAAAACGATACTTTTACCAACTTAAAAAAGAACAGCAAATAAAAAGTAGTAAAAAAGTTTGAAGAAATGTTTATCAAACTTTAGTTAAATTATTTATGAAAAATGTTTCTTTATTTAAATAATTGTTACAAACTGACTAGCTTGGCTTGGCTTATAAATTGGAATAGTATTAAAACAAACAACAAAATAATAAAGAAGCTTATACCTTTAAGGAAGCCAAATTCAAACGAACATGACGTAGAAAACTGGATTATAGCTAGTGCATTCTTAAGATAACAATAAAATTAGATTTATGTTCATGTGTAGTTGTGTAACTTAGGGAGCTTTGTTTCTTACTGCTCATAATTTTGCTTATGGATCTTTATTTTTGTCGTCCTCCTTACCTCTTTGGACCAGTGTTCATTATGCAACAGAGAGTCCATTGTTACGAAAACACAAATAAATGGTCGTATTTAATATTCTCTCAGCCTTTAATTTTGTCTTCTTTTCTTACAGCCTAAGAATAAATTATTTGTTATACCAATATATTAATTTAAGATATTGAATTAATAAATCATTGACGTCTTGTTATTGTTTTTATTTATTTTCAGTTATAATTCAGTTAACCGTGGTTGGCTTAAATTGTGGTAACAAACTTACAAGATCCAGTATACACCAAGTTGGACTTAGACGATTTACAGCAGATTACACATCAATTGAGATTGACCTATACAAAAAAAAAACAACTAGGGCTTAATTGATGTGAATCTCACTATTTTTGGTAACTGTCGGTTGATCTGTTTTCACATCAATTGAGATTTAACAGCTTCTTAAAATAGATCATAGAGCTGGCTTGATCACACTTCAAAAATAAAAAAACAACAACTATATATAAACTATTATTAACAATGTGAACACAAATATTTAACCATTCCAATTTCTAAGAAAAATAGCAAGCCAAAAAAAAAACTCAAAGATGTGGTGGAAAGGAAAAGGCCAAAGAAAACAATTGTAAATTAGTTGATTAAATCTTTTTTTTTTCTCGAATAGAAAGACAAAACTATTCAACAAAAACGCCGTCGTATCTAAGTGGACGCCTCCGTCGTAAATGGCCATGGGGGAGCCAAAGCCAAGGGTAAGTGGTGCTTCTTCCTCCACCGACTCATATTCAACCCCTTATGCGTCTCCAACACCAACTCAAGCTCCACGTCACCCCGTGACATTACTCGAACCATCTCACCAACACAAGAAAAAAGGCAAGAAAGTCTTCCGTGTCTTCCGCTCCGTGTTTCGTTCTTTCCCCATCATCACACCGGCGGCTTGTAAAATCCCGGTCCTTCCGGGCGGTAGCTTACCTGACCAGCACCGAAGCGGGTCAAGCGGGTCAAGAGTCTCCGGGACCTTGTTTGGATACCGTAAAGGCCGTGTAAGCCTCTCTATCCAAGAAAACTCCAAATGTTTACCATCTCTCGTCGTGGAGCTAGCAATGCAAACAATGGTGCTACAAAAGGAGCTGAGCGGAGGAATGGTTAGGATCGCTTTAGAGACGGAGAAACGAGCTGATAAGGAGAAGGTTAAGATAATGGACGAGCCGTTATGGACAATGTATTGTAACGGTAAGAAAACGGGGTACGGTGTGAAACGTGACGCGACGGAGGAAGATCTTAACGTGATGGAGTTGTTAAGACCGGTTTCGATGGGTGCGGGAGTTTTGCCGGGGAACTCGGAGGCTGAAGGACCTGACTCGGAGATGGCTTACATGAGGGCTTACTTTGAGCGTGTGGTTGGGTCTAAAGATTCAGAGACGTTTTATATGTTGAGTCCCGAAGGGAATAATGGACCAGAGCTTAGTATCTTCTTCGTGAGAGTTTGATTTTATGTAATGGTCGGAGACAATATATGGGTACGTACGTTCTGGATTGTATATGGACGGAGAAGGTGGCCGGTACGGAGATAGATCTCGGTTTGTGGATTGGAATGTGATTAACTGATCATGATGATATATGTCTATGGGTGCATATGAGACGTATTCTTTAGGAATGTGATGTATTCTTTAGGATGATTTATATGAAACTATTTCAGGTTAATAACATGCACACATTTATTCAGGTTTAGTTTTTTTTTTTCCAAAATTTGACAAGGTTTAGTCACATAAGCTGACATTAGACTTGGCTCAGGCAGACGTCAAAGAATCGATATCAGCAAGAAGAAATGCAAAATACGGTCAAAAGGACTAATCTTTTTGCAAATCATCGAGTCAGTTGGAATCGACGTCGGCCAGGTCATTTAAAATGCAATTACGATGCATGTTACGATTCAACGTACGACGGGTGAGGTTCATGGTAGATGGATTATTCGGGATCATCATGGTGTATAAAACTGTCGATTGGTCAGTTCAGCTTCCATTTGAACTGTCTACGCAGACTATTATTTTTTTTAGGATTACAATTGGTCAGTATGTAAGAGGCAATCGTCCAAAAATGTTCCAAATTTCCAGTAGAGACCATATCTCAATAGTCAGATCCATGAAAATCCAATATTATTTATAGTTATTTTTATTATCCCCTATATATTATTTGCAAAATGATTTTGCCACATGTCCTCTCTACAATCAGTTTCACAAAAAAATGATGACATGTCTACTAGAATTGATGACATGGCATATGATTAAATATGACATGGACAATTGCATTTAATGTTAATATATATTTTTGGAAAAAATTATAAAATATGGTAACAACTCATATATTAGATTTGGTGTCGATTTATATTTTTAGAAATATTTTTAAAATATGGTAATAACTCATAAATCATCATTAAAATAAATATATTCAAATATGGCATTATAAATTTCGAAAATATCATTTAACTATATATTTTAAAATTATAAAATTTTATTACAAACTTTTCAAAAATGTATACCTTTTTTGAAAATTATTAAAACTTAATCGTAAAATTATTAATTTTTTATATATTTACAAATTTAATAAATATTATTTAATTTTAATTTTTGATAATTCTAAATTTTTCTACAAATTTATTTAATATATTTAATTAAAATAAATTGATAAAAAGTCTATCTAAGATTATAATTTTAAATATATATATATGCATATTCTTAAATATAATTTAAAATAAACAAAAATATTTTTCTATTATTTTTATGTTTAATTAACCAAAATTTTGTATTAAAATAGTGATAAGAAAAAGGAAATTTATAATATTAATAATACTTTAATTTTAAACATAATTTGGAAAATTTTTATAAAATATGGTAACAACTCATATATTAGATTTGATGTCGATTTATATTTTTGGAAATATTTTTAAAATATGGTAATAACTCATAAGTCATCATTAAAATAAATATATTCAAATATGGCATTATAAATTTTGAAAATATCATTTAATTATATATTTTAAAATTATACAATTTTATTACAAACTTTTCAAAAATGTATACCTTTTTGAAAATTATTAAAACTTAATCGTAAAATTATTAATTTCTTATATATTTAAAAGTTTTAATAAATATTGTCTAATTTTAATTTCTGATAATTATACATTTTTCTACAAATTTATTTAATATATTTAATTAAAATAAATAGAAAAAAAATCTATCTA